GATACAATGCTAAGCATCTCGAAAAATTCATTTCCCACATTTTGAGATTTGGTAAAATTGGCATCCAATTATCCATTAAAGAAGAACATTCTTCTCATGCAACCAATTATTTCAAGACTAACCAGTTATTTTGTAAAGAGGCCAGCTTGCATTCTTTAAGAAAAAAGGTATATATAAGGTAACCTAAATGACCAGGTCAGGCCTCTGTTTAAATATGTTAACAATCAAGGGGGGCAAAAGTACCTATAATGCTCTCTTGTAACATGAGAACTTGAACTAGGTGAACCTTGATGTCTATTGCGGCTTGGAGTAAGTTCCAGATCAGCATTCCTCGAGGCAGACCTCCCTCTTTCACTTGTTAAGTCTACCCTGGCACCACTTGTCAATCTTTTGTCACCATCATACCGTTGATCTTTGGTACTTCGTGATTTAACATCAATCTGATCATCTTTATCAGAGCTTCTTTTTCTACCCTGATCATCTTTAAACCTGGCTCGATCTTCATAATTAGGACTACTATCACGCATGCTAGATTTCCTTGAATGAAGGTCTGCAACATGAATCTCATCCCTTGATTGCTTAATATCAGACTTATCCCCAGGGCGGTCTCTTGATGCACGCTCATCCTTGTACTTAGCATCTCTCAGTCTCTTCTCCTTATCAACATCATCTGCTTGCTTTCCATCCTTGCGCCTGCTGTCTCTTTCATAATCTTCCCGACGTTTCTCAACCTTGTATCTATCATTATCTTCTCTATACTTGTCATCCTTGTACCTATCATCCCTTTCACCATCCTCATGATATCTACTGTCCTTGTCACCATCCTCACGATACCTGTCATCTCTGCGTTTATTCTCTCTCTCACCATCTTCTCGATACTTATCATCCCTACGCCAACCATCTCTTTCACCATCATCTCGATACTTGTCATCCTTGCGTCGAGTATCCCTATCAGCATCCTCATGATACTTATCCTCTCTCCTTCTATTATCTTTCTCACCATCCTCACGGAACTTATCATCCCGATGTCTACCATCTCTGTCGCCATCATCCCGATACTTAACATCCTTGTCAGCATCTGACCGGTACTTTACATCTCGGTGCCTATCATCTTTCTCCACATCATCCTGGTTCTTATCTCCGTAACTCCCATCCTTGTACCTTTCATCCTTGTATTTTCCATCCTTAGCTCGGTCACCCCTAGAGGAAAAATGTCTCTCATCACTTTCTCTTGCATCTTGACTTCTATCTCCGTCACCAGAACCATCTCTTCTCCTCCGAATCCTCTTTTCAAGATCCTTCTCTGACTCTGAATTTCGAAATTCATCCTGTATAGCGAATTCTGCATTTTTAAATATCAAAGAAATTATTAGAAAAGCAACAAAGATAATTCACCATCATTACTAAAGAAAATGGTCAATTAGCTATTCCCACCAGCAGGGAAATGCAACAATGAGAATGTAAACGAAGCTAACTATTCTAACTCAATTCACAATTCCAGAAATACAAAATCATAGAGGAAGAAAGCTAGGAAATAAGCTTTATTTGGGCCATATATCCACAAAATAACCCCAAAAAAAAATCATGTGCTCAGGGGACAGGAATTAATTTTAAAGCAGAAAAACATTGAAGGGCAGGAGAAGATTAATTTAGCTCATTGTCGTGGACTATGAAAAAACAGTTCTGACAAATAACCATAGCTTTCAATTCTTGTTTGGATGACATTTAACTTATAACACGTTCCAGTAAATCATATACTAGGAAAACAAAGATCGGCTTGTTGCAGAGAACAAGAAACGGTTAAAAACAAAGAAAATCTATGAGGTTAGTAATGAAAATATGATAGAGAAATGTTTCGTTACCCTCTATCAATAACTAAAAACCAGAAGAAGTGTTCCCAATGACCAATAATAATACCAGTAAGCAGTTGAACATCTTTACTTATTTATTTATCTAATAGGTAATAGTATTCAATGCCAGCGCCACATGATCTTCCAAACATGGACACAAGGGCAGTAACTAAATCAAAGACATATCCTCAACTGGCTAGATGCATTTGGAAATATGACATATCATGTTGTGAAGTATGACAAGTACACCATTAAACTCTTTAATTGGGCTGAACCTTTTTCAGTAAAATAACCATGCATCCTGCCTCCAGACTCAATTTCAGAAACACAATCATAACAGGGACACAATCATAGCCCAAACAGAAAAAGAAAAAAGGAAAAGCTTAAAGCCTCTGTTGACAAGTGTGCCCCCATAATTAGCAAAAAGTAACATAAATAATCTATGACAAAGATAAGACTGGTGCAAAAGTACAAAAAAAAATACTCAAAAATTTATCTTTTTCCTTTTTAAAAAAGGATTCTTAAAAAATCAGCAAGTAAAATAACCTCTCTTCCTCACTCTCCAGTGCCCCTTTCTCTCTCACCCCATCTTTCTTTCGGATAGCTGAGGAGTGCTGGAAACAGAAAGTCATTGAATCAAACAAGTGTTATACCATTCTAAACATCATAGAACAGCACCCCTTCCAACAAATCTGTAGGCTTAAACCTGTAATCCTCACCTATCAAGCACGCAATAATACCCATGGAAGAAATTGAGACATGTAGATACCCAGACTTCAGTCCTGGAGTTAATGCAGGAGTAAAAAAGGCCAAAAAAAATGGTGATTTATCTATGCATACACTAATAGTCAAATTGATTTTATCTTCCCTTTATTAGCATGAAGAACAAACTGAACATTTGAGGATCCCTAACTTACTAGTTGTAGAGAGAATTTCCACAAAACCATTTTCCTAGTTCTATTAACATAGCAATAAAAGATACATTTAAAATATAGCCATAACAAAGAGTCCAATTTAAAGGACAATCCAAGAGTGAACAACAACATTAGAATTTAATTAAACACACCAACGACTAGCTAGACTAATCAGAACAAGAATACCAAGGCCCAACAAAAAATCATTTATTATACCTACCACATGAATAAGTTACCTTACCAGTATAATCTCTACCTCTCTTGCTCTGTCTATCTTCGCTCCCATCCTCCCACTGTGATCCTTGCTTCTTTGCCAAAACCCCATCTGCTTGACGCATCTCAGAATCCCGTCTACTCTCCTGACCCTTCTTCTCCCTATCAGGCCCCCGATCCTTGTCCTTCATTTCCTTTGAATCCTTTCCCTCTTTCCTTCCTGACTCCTTGTCAGACTTCCTCTTCGACTCACTTCTACTACTGCTCCTACTCTCCTCCTTCTCCACCAGCAAACCAACATTTCTCTCCTCCTTTTCACCACCACTCTCATGTCTCTTACTGCTTTTACTTTTTGAATCCCCTAACCCCTTAGACTCCTTGAATTTTGCACCCTTCTCTAAATCAATTTTTGAACTTTCTCCTTTAAATTCCTTCTCTATACCTCCACCATCATCCTTTTCATCTCCTCCTCCTCCATGCCACCTATCTCCAGCACCACCACTTCCGCCCTCGGCCTTGTCTTTCCGCCTTTTGGAGGACACATACTCTTCTGCAACATCCACATTCCCATTGCCGCTCAGATCTTTTCCATCCTTGCCCTCTCTCAACAAGGAAGAGGAAGAAAGTTTCCGCTTCTCCCCAGAAGCGGAATGGCTCGAATCTTTCGAAACCCTAACAGACCCACCGCCGTCCTCTTTACTACTGTTCCTATCCTTCATCTTCACATCCTCGTCTGAGTCCGAATAATAATCCTTGGCCTCTTTGGAGCTGTGTTTACTTTGCTTATGCGATTTGTGCCTCGAACTTCGCGGCATAACTGTTATTTCACTTCGAACTCCCCTCCCAAAACCACCAAACCCTAATTCCAAACTGCAGAACCTAATTTTTTAGCTCCACTGTTAAAACTCAATCGACATCGATTTCTTCAAAAAAAGCTGCCGACAGTCAAAAAATCGAAAGGAATCTTACAATTCCGACAGTTCGAAACCTGAAGGTTGAACTTCCGCTGACTTTAATAAATCAGATCGCTCTATTAGGGCAAAATTGAATCTCCACGAATATTTATTTAGGGAGAGACGGTCATACTGTATAAATGCATAGAGAGAGACAGAGTAGAGCGAAAATGTGGAGAAATTTGGAAAACTCTTGGAGAGAAAAAGCGAGAGATCGGAGGCTAAAGGTTTGATGATTACTGCGAAATTAAAATGTGATTCGTATTGGACTTCTGGAGCATTGGGGATAATTGCTCCGAAAGGACGTTTGTGACCTTATCGTGGCCAAGTAATTACGGAGAGGGTTCTTGTAGGTAAAAGCAACCCTAATTTACCGCAAACTTCAATACTACTGGAGTTCGAAAAATCAATTTATTACGCACATACATTTTTTTTTAATTAATAGTTTACGAAAAATGTAAAAATAAAAATAAAAATAAAAATTGGAGCAATATGATAATCCAAATAAGGCAATACACCACTTTTCACCCCAACATTGAGTAGTTTAGGATCCATTCTTACATTATAGGCTTTAAACTTTCTCGTTTCCTTGTTTATATTCCGGAGCATGTAATGAGATTATGAATTTATTGGTGTAATCCAGAAACAGATTATCCTTTTTGGTGCCAATTAGGGTAGAAATTATTTGATGAATGCAAGGCCAAAAACTATAAGCAGGATTGTTTGGAGAAACTTCGGAGACGCTTTTTACATGATCTTAACACAAGTCTGAGCACCAAACCATAAGATTGTCAACGTTTGGGATTTGGAAAAGTTAATATAAATGTAATGTTATCTGATTTGCCTTAATTTTGTTGAAGATATATATATGTAATGTATGCAAATAATGTCGGTTAAAAATGGTAATAAAGCTTTTATGCGATGGCTAACCGTAAAGGTGCCAGCACCTTAGAACTGGGCAGTAACGATTTTGATGCATATCATATATATAAAATTTAAATTAAAAATAGGTATCATGCATTCAAATTTTGAATGTACACAAGATTAACCCAAACTAATTATCCTACATGTCCAGTGATGGGTCCAATCTCCTACTGATGCAGCTAGCCATCACTGAGGTTGCAATATGGAACTTGTGACCAGGGTACTAGGCATCGTCCAAGTCCATGGGTAAACACAGATCTGCTTGCTTACTCCCAGGCGGTATTTGTTTGGACCTTGCACTTCACTGGGCCTTAATACACAACCCAAGTTCACTCGTGGCCTTAATACAACATCAACTCGTTAGCTGTCGAACACTCCCGACTCCTCCCACAGCCTGACACATTGGTGACTCCATTGCCAAAGATAGGACCATCAATGCAAAGAGATATGTGGCCAGAACAGTATGACTGGGATGAAATAACTGTAACCTTATTGCTAATTTTCATCCATCATCGGATCCTCATCCCTCGCTGCAATTTGGCAGGGTAATGGCTTCATCATTCCTTCAGTTCCCCCTGCTTCACAAGTCTAGTTTTCTTGGTCATACCAGTTTCACTCATAAAACCTGCTCTAATCCCACCCCAAAACAAGCATCAACCATTCAGTTTAGCCCAAATGCCAAATTCAATCTTTCTGAGATCTTGGGAGGTAGAGGTCTTTGCAACGGAGAAGCAGGCCTTCAAGAAGAACTCAAGAAGACCGTCTCGCTAGAACCATCAAAAACCACCGAAAATGAAGAAAACCCACAAGTCTCGGCAGTTGAAAGCATTCCAGAAGATGGATTTGAAAAGGAGTTACAAGGCTTGACTGGTGGATTTCCGGGAGGGGAAAAGGGTCTCCAGAAGTTCATTGAACAGAATCCACCTCCCAAAAAGTCACAGGCTGAAGCATCAGCATTTCTAGCATTTAATCAAAACTTTGTCAAGAAGCAAAAACCGCCACAACTGCCGATTTTATTGCCGGGAATGATTGTCATTGTCAAGAACCCTAACAATCCGTATCACATGTATTGTGGAATTGTCCAGAGGATTACTGATGGCAAAGCTGGTGTTTTGTTTGAAGGTGGGAACTGGGATAGATTGATAACTTTCAGGCTTGAAGAGCTCGAGCGCCGTGAGAAGGGACCGCCAATGGTTAATCCTAGGTCTGCCATCCTCGAGACCCTGTTAGACAAGAATTAACGACTCAATTGTCTCCTGCATTTCTTCTTCTATGTATGGATTAGCATTGTAAATCTCGGGGGTTTGCAACCATTTTGTACTGGTTTTTGGCGTGTGGATTCGTCACTACGTAGCTGTGCCCGTTCAAATCAAGTAACTCGTAACCTATATTTTTGCCTGTATTCGAGTAGCAGGATATTAAGTTGATTTTTCCATAGCCGCAGCTGGCCTCATTCTTGGACGTGCGAATTCACTTATTTCAGCTTTAAATATCTAATTCAGAATGAACTCTTGAAACAGCTAAACCAAATTTCTTCAAGGAAATTGTTAAGATTTGAAGCCTCTACAAGCGCCATCGGGGTATAAAAGGACCAGAAAGGACAATATCATGAAAACCTCCATGACACCCCAAAACGACAAGAAGAAGATTATAGTCTCAAATCTTCAAAAATTATAAAGAGTAAAACAAAAATAAGTAGATCATAGTCAGTAATCTTCAAAGTTGTGTCCAATTGCCCTGAACACATGGGTACATGTCTGAGAAAGCCAAAATGTTCGTGAACTATACTCTCGAATTGTGTTCCTTCACAGAGTGCCACCCAACTGCCAACAAGAATATGACAATACAAAGATTATGAAGTAACAGTTAGAAGACAAGCTACACTATTAGTACAATGGAGGGCAAACGCAATCTCGTTTTAGAAAGTCATGAATGCCGTCCATCTGGACAGCACTCCGCCAATGGAGTATATGTAGATGATCAAAGCTGGGCTCAAGTATTAGGCCTCTTTTACCTAGATGCTGCATGATTGGTTCATTACTAGAAAAGCCTTCATATACCAAGAGTTCACAAAGCACGACAAGGAAAATATACTTCTCAGAGTTGAATTTAAATTCATCAACAAATATTCTCAGACACAGAAGTATCCAATGTGAAGGAAGGACAACAAAAGGAGCTCAAATGGTGGACACCACTCTTGGTCCAACAACCAACACCTAATATTGTAAAACAGTTGCAACAGGTGTCTGATTTTAAGATAAAAGCTGAATATTCATATCCTAAACATCATTCACATTCTTCACAAATGAAGTATGCAGCTCTAGCAAACATCTAAGCATTCACAAACTACTTCGATTTTATCTAAAAGCTGATTCTCATTTGCTAATTATCTCTTAGAATTTCAAATGATCTGCCAATATTTTCTTTTTTAAGAGTGTTCCACATTAAAGTTTGCTTTCACCGTCGAAAACCCACGTTCCAATCCTCAAAATCTAAGAACCAATATCTTGGTAGCTTTAGTCAAGAAGGAGCTAGGGGATGCATGAGATGGAGATTGGCAGTGAATTAGTCTAAGGATTCAGTAAAAGCAGAAAATGCTTTAAGCAGATAGGAAATTGAAGGAATAAATTTAGCATGACACCACTATAGGAAACATTTCATACCAAGATAGCCTCAATCTCCTCTTGTGACACTGGAGTTCTTCTGGGCTGGTCAGAGGCCTTTCCTCCAGGAGTCATGCTAGGAGGCCTTGGAAAAAATGGCCGTGAAGCATCTCCAGATGCAGATGTTGTTTGAGCCTGGGACGAGGTAGCTGCAGAACAGTAGTCTTGTTGCTTAATTCAGAATCCATCAAATAAAAAATAATTCGAGTTGAAACTAGATGCTCACTGCAGTATAAACTTCATTCCAGAAATCAATAGGACCCAAGACGGGCTTCTATTTTCTTCCTCATTTTACGAGGAAAGCAAGATATTGAACAGGATATTCAAAAGGCCCAGGCCCAGTAGAGACTGAGAGATCACAGAAACAGAATACATAGTGAAACTCCTTGATAGAAATAGAACAGAACAAGCAGTTAACTAATGATACAATGCAATGGGAGCAGGTAGACAAAAGTGAGATAGTCAGGTAGGAATCAGCAAATAGAAAAGTTATCTCCACTGTGGACCTAGACAGCATCAGTTCAATGAGGTTATCTGACGGAAAATGCTCATGCAGTTTGGATCCTTATGAGACTGGAAATAACATGGCAATATATATGATTCCCTTCAGATTCTAAACCTTCACAGGTATATACGGTACATCTTACCAACATATCTACAGTTTCCTAAAGACAAAGTAGAACATTATTGCAGTTTGGATAGCAGAACAGAAGCACAACTGAGGTAAATTTCTCAAATGGGCGCTTCCACACACAGCCTGAGTTTCTTCAGGTCAACCAGCCTTTTACCTAACGTTTAAACCACATTTGAAGCGCATTGTATCTCAACAAAAGTAGCATATACAAAGAAAAAGAGTTTCTCACTAACAGCGTAAAGTGTACGGATTGAACAAGTTAGAAACTTCAGCATGATCCCAACTAGCATTTCTACCAAAACCTAGTCTTCTAAATGTTCAGTTTCTATATCCAGAACTAACTTTCTGGTACATCTTTCTTCATTTTGGCCAAATTATGCTCTAATACAGAATAAAGATAAGAATTTCCACAGTGCCCATAATACCCTAATGCCAAATAGCTACAAAAATCAGATACTACTCCAAAATCCCAGAAAGCACCTGCAAAAAAGGACTTCTTCCCTTATAACAAAATAAGGCTACCATCCATGCTATAATATCTACCATAATTGCATCCCTGGGGTCACAAATTCCGATTCCGGTGCAGATATTCGAAACAGCTCAACCATTATTGCTAATGCAGAAACAAAGCAATATTTTCTAAAAAGAAAGGAAACAAAGCAATCAACATTACGCGGTATTTTTTTCCCCATTTTGAAACAAAATTACGCATGTCAGGAAGGGCATGAACATACTCCCGGGAGGTTTAGGATGCCTCGGGGGGAATTTGATTCGTGGGATTCTCTTCAGAGCGTGTGCTGCGCCGCCCATCTTGCTCGGTTTTTCTCCCAATTGAATTTGGAATTCTCTGGATCAGAATTCAACTCAGCTGACCCAATCACAACAAGCTGGCGAAGGAAGAATAAAAGATTTTAGACAAGAAAATGAAGAATGGAAACCTTTTTCCTTTTTTAATTTTTTATCGGCCAAAATAAAAGGAATTCTTTTATTAGGATTAAAAAAAAAGGGATACAAAAACGAAAAAGACAATTAATACACGGACCGATGAGTTGTCTACCATTCTAAACGGGTTCGTGGGTCTTTTGTTGGTTTGGCAATCGGGTCAAATTGCTTTAAAGTATTGTGCGAAAATATTGAATTGATTACACTAATTGTAAATACATTTAAATATTAAAATTAATTATAAATTTAAGTACCTTCTAAATAATCCAAATAACCAAAAAGCAAGAGGTTAATAGTGGACAGAAGGTCATAACAAAGAAAATGGGATAATTTTAGAAACCCTGCAGAGGTTTCTAACTATTTCACTAGCCTTCCTCTAGGTTTGAAAATTACATTAACCTCTATTAAAATTTATTATTTTGTAACATCTAGATCCAATTAACAATAAAAAAGTGATATTATAAGAGAGAAATAATATAATTTTACCAATACCCCTCATCTACTAAATTGTTTAATTAATCTAATATAGGCCCAAATATCACAGAAAGCACTAGGATTTACTATTTATTATCGGGCTTTTAAATCACATATGGTATTAAAAATAGTATATCATTCTAAATATTTTACTTAATGTAAGATTCAAATTACTTTTTTCAGTTACGAACCCATTAAATAATCAAAAAATTTTGCAATCAAAATATTATAAGGAGTGAATTTTAATACCATAAAAATCTCAAGGAACTAATCTTAATATGTTGACAAGAATATTTTATGATGTTAAAATTTGGTATTAAATTAATTAAATAATGTAGGATATAAGAGGCAATGATAGAACCATGTTATCTTCTCTATCCTAATATCAATTTTTAAATTATTGATTGGACCTAAATGTTATGAGATAATTAACCTTAAGGAATGTTAGTGTAATTTTTAAAATCTAAAGGGAAGCCAATGAAATAGTTAGAAAAAATTATCCCAAGTAAAATTCCAGATTACTACAACATTATAGCTTAAAACAGTGGCTTTATTTTATGGACCAACAGTGGCTGAAGTATTTGGGCCAAAAAGTGGCTCTGAACTGCGGGCCAACAGCGGTGAATAGCATTGAGAGAGCATCCTATGACATTTGATGGAGACAGAGATTGACCAGGCTCTGAGCCTGGACCAATTCAACCCCAAAACGCACTCGAGAATGACCTCTTTCACGAACGCTAGACGCATCGTCATCGATCAATTCTCACGGAAAGGGAATTCGCCACCCAAATTTGATAAATGGGTCTACGGTTTACTCGGTCATGCCCCAGGGTTAGGAAAAAGTGTGAAAAGTGCTAAACTCGGTCTTAAGTATTACTTCCTAATCAAAGCATTCAACTTTCCTAAGTATTTTTTTCTGGTCAAAAGATTGTTTAGTAGTAGTAATTAATCCAAATAGCTTTGCTACTAGCACTGGCGTAGCATGACGTTGTTTTCTAGAACAGGTTCTAGTTAGTTATATGCTAAAACTAGTACTTTGGACTGGACTCGATATTTTTTACGATTCCATAAGCCATATAACTGCAGAATTGTACAAATTTATGGATCACCATTTGGTTTTATATATATTTTCTCCTCCGACAAAATTGTATAATTAAATCTAGGATTACTATTGTATACTGTTAAATAGTGTATACACTATTATTATTAAACACATGATATTAAATTGTTACAGTATATTTTTTTATAAAAACTCGAAAAAATAGCAATCCGAACTGGACCTTTAAATATATGACTGTCGCGAGTTATTTTAGTTAATACACGCTTTACTTGTTGTTAAACAATTAGAAGTGTTGGTTCTAGGAGTTTGTCCGTCCCATGAGGTAACAATTGAAGTGCCAATCACTGTGACTGAAACTAGTCTCTTCTTTTCGTGTAATTTGAGTTTCGTACGGCAGGAATCAATCTAAACATGACCAAGTCCAAATTCGACTTCTGGATAATAACAGAATAATTAACCTTTAAACCATTGATTTCCCAATTTCTTTCCGTGTATGTCTTGTAAGTTATATTAAAAATCCATTGACGGGTCTACATTTTTTTTTTCATTATCCGTACACTTTTTCTACACATAGGGAGAGACTCGAGAGAATTCAAACTATCTTGTGTTTGTGATAAGGTAAGAAGAAAAATTTTCAAATTGACTACAAACTAACTTCCTCTCGGTCTATATATATATAGCGGGAGAAGGTGATTTTGTGTAAACCATCAGTTGTCACTTTTTAGATTTTCTTTTTTACCCTTCAAATAAATTCTCACCACTAAGTCACTTTAAATCAATCACTAATATCACATAACCAATGAAATACATATTTATCACTTAAACATAACATGCTCACAGATAATTGCTTGATTTAATTTTTGGTTCGAATTTTATGATTTTTTGTATTATTTTTTTTAATTTACTATTAATAGATTTTGTTGTCAAATAATGATTCTACATTCATTAATTCAACAAAAGATTTTTTTTTTATCACTTGCATACACATCAAGTGTGCGTCGATCACTAGTATAAATAAAATGAGAGTCTTAAATTTTGGTGTAAACATTTTTTTTGTCAATTTTTTAGCTTGGATTTTTACTCTCGTAGAACATAAATTTTATCCTGACCGTAATCTAATCTCATCGTAACTACCAAAGCATACCTTTCCAATGTAAATACTCATAAACATGTCAACATAATTATGTTTTTAAAGAAAAAAATTTAAAAGATCAAAGTTATGTTTAATTATAAAAGTTCTATGTAAAATAAGTTCAGACAAGGAAAGAAATTATTTCTAAATTGTACATGCATTGACCGTGTTCTATCATCTATGCCCCTAGCGGTCTAAAAAGTCCATGCACTTTCTTTTTCACCCAGTTGATACGCTGCTCGATTGACTGAAACAGAAGTGCAAGACTTTTAACAGGATAAGCCGACGGGCAATTGACGGTCTAAAGCTTTCCATGTATGCCCCAAATCAAATGTAGACATCTCCAACTTTACCTTCATCTCTGCTCATATACATGTGTGTGTGTGTGTATATATATATATGTAGTCTTGGTCCTGCATACAGCTTCATCAACCCCCATCAAGAATCAATAGAATCACTACCTATTTCCCTCACAAACACACACAGAAGACATATTTCTGAGCAAAATGTTCAGCTCCTTGCGCTCTTTGATCAATGGAAAGGTGCCATTCGACTCTAGGAAAACAAACAAGGTTGTGATATATAGAGATGAGTTGGATACTAAGAAGCCATCACAAAGCAAGCCAAAGAAAAAGGTAAGCTTTGAAACAAAACCATTGGTTCAAAACCAAGTGGCAGGCGAAAAGAATTTCGATATGAAGAACACCACTTTTGCTGCCGATAATGAGAATAAAGCAGGTCTCAAGTTGAAGATACTGATGACCAAGGAAGAAGCTGCTCGGCTGCTTTCCAAATGCAAAGAAGGAGGCGTTCTCGAATACAAGGACGTGGCTAGTGAGCTCGTGCAAATTCCAGTTGATCGTGTTAGCTTGGTTTCTTCTGCTGCCAATAAATCAAGTCCTTGCTTACTTAAGAAGAGTACTGTTGATAAAGAAGAGTAGAGCCACCAGCTAGCCTTGTCCTGTTGGTCACGATGACTCGTGAGGTTCTTGGATACTCAAGTGAAGAGTTTTGAGCTCAGTAATGGCTGCATAAGTAATACTGCAATAGTAGTACGGTTTTTCCTTTTTTTTTTTTATAATTTCCCCTTTTTAAAGTAGTACTAGAAGTATGTAAAAAGAGGCAGTTTTTGGTAATATAGGCTATAGTAGGGCAACTTTTAATTTGCTGAGAAATTAGTCTGATTTCTTTGTTAGTTTAGGAATCTGTAAATAAAACTTCATTTAGTCTACACGTTTCCTATGATTATCATATTCCTTCTCTTGATTTTTACGAAGAAAAGTTGATGCAAGTTTTTGACGGTTGGCTAATGGAAATGTCAAATTCAGTTTATTATCGTACCGTCTTTAACTAAAAGAGCTTGGCTGTTCAAGATTGTGCTATTTAAATAGGATAACAAACGGCCTTTTGTTTTTTTTAAAAAAAAAATTGTTTCATATTTCCTTCTCAAAATCCCTTCCTTCTCTTTGCGGCATGATTCATAAATTCTAAAGGCCCACTGGACAAGCAATAGTTTTTGAATCTTTAGACCACCGAAAACTTTTGTAATTCGCCCGAGTTGAACATGTATTCACCTTAGCCCAGTATCAGCAACAATTCTCTACCTCGTCCACACTCTTGTACCTACATAAATGGGCTGAATCGTGGTCATTTGTTTCTCAAGAATCATCAGCCCAATGGGCTAACATCAAAGAGTCAATTGGCCTTCGTATGTATCCCACAAACACACGAGCAGCAAACTACTCCTAGTCCTATTTACTCCCTAAACATTTTTTGGCTGAATACTAACATGGAGAAAACAAGCTTTGGTAGAGTTAGCCGGGAGAAGGTTTGAAAATGCTCAACTTTAGATTATTAGTCAGGCCAAATGCGATCACGGGATACAGAGAGTTTACACCCCCAAAAAAGTTAGTATTGTTGGAATGTAAGTGTGTTTGGATAAGAGATTAATTGAAATAATTAGGTAGTATTTTTTGTAATGTGATGTATGCAAGATAAAAAAATGATTGAAAAAAAAAATGTGTTTGTAATTGAAGAAATTTTCTTTCTTTCTTTTTTTTGGCAGATAACTTTTATCCAAACAAACATGTAAAACAGGAAAATACATAAACAAATCCTTAGCGGTCTTGATGGAGCTTTTGGAGTCCATAAAAAAGTACTACGTCTTGTTCTCAATCAGTTTGACATCCTTTATGTAACCAAGTGCTCAAGCCTGAAGCCATGATTAACTAAAAGCTGCTTGTTTACAACTATTTAACGCATTGCTGATTTTCAATCATCCAATTCAACAAATGCTTAGGTTGTGTTTGGATTGCATTTCCCGTCATTTTTCATGAAAAAATTACTGTAGCGATTTGATATATGTGAGGGAAAAAGGTGATAGAAAAATGTGTCACGGAAAACGAAAATATTTTTCGACGGAAACAAGCAATCCAAGCATGGCCTTAATTTCATGCGCCAAAGAAACTTTTTATTCTTTCTTCTATTATAGTTAGTCCATACCCAGACATTGGTTTACAGTTGAATATGACACGAGGCAAAGAAAAAACAGCAACAGGAATTGAATTAGCAGGATTAGACAACACTACCGATGCTATAGCCTATACCAACAAAGAAAATGAGGCCACTTTCGTCTTGACCATACAACATATCTTTTCACTTAACGAGGACAAAAGTTTTAACGTGATCCGCGCAACCAAATCAGGCTTCCGGCCGATAGAATACAAAGATCATGATTCCCAAATTTCAAAGTGGAAGGCCCTAGAAGAACAAATGAGAAACATTTCATGAAATTGGGGTAATGGTTGGATCACTTTTCCCTCCTTTAGCACTGCCTGACCAATTATATGTTTTTGTATTTCTTCCCTCTTTCTTATTGCTCAGGTTACTTTTATCAATCAATCCAAACTTTTTGAAAAGTGGCCCTGAGTGTTGGAAAGGCCAATAAGACTGGAGCTGAACAAGTAGTGATACCCTATTGACATGGTCCATCCATTCGCTACGAGTAATGCTTCCCTTCTCTTTGATCTCCAGAGGCCAAAACCACGAGAAGGATACCCGTATTATATAGAGCATAAAAAGAACAGGATCCACATATTAATTATGAAATGCGGATTTTTTTTTCAAGTTTTGTGAATTGGGATATTCATGAATCCGAGAAAAGAAAAAAAAGGTACTACCGATTTTCACCAATCTTTCCAAAAAAGGACGTTTCTTCACAAAGTTAAAGAAAGATGGATAGGAAAGAAAATTGCAGATAATGTAGGCATGAAACCAGAAGAGGGAGAACACTGCAGTTGAAGCAAGCCTTAAGTTATCCACCTCAATTCACATTCATGTACCGCAGTAAGCCAAATAATTACAAACTAATACGGTTGCTCAACAGTATTTAAAAAAAAAAAAAACTTCGGTGCTTGCGAAGAAGAAGAGTAAAATGAAAATATAAAAGAAAAAGAAGATCCTAATTTAAAAAAAAAAAAAAAAAAAATCAAGCACAAAAGATAGAAGGGAGGCCATTGCACCCTACATACAAACGCTCATCTGTCCATTTGCTCAGGAACTTCAGGGCTTTCAGTAATGCTCTCTAAAGAAGGTTTCCATGATCCAACTGGTCTGCTTCTGCTTCTCTCAATCTCATCCAAAACATCCTCTAATCTCTTCCCTTCCATATTCTTGAGCTGGAATACTAGCAACTCTAGCTCCTCTTTCGTCAACACTATCTTGATTCTCATGGCGCCACTGTTTTGATCTTTCTCAATTATGCTTTCCTTGAGCATTTCTGATGGTTTCTCCACGCTTTCTAATTGCTCTAATTGTAATTCACTCTTTGCCTCTTTTGAGCCGTGTTTGCATGTCTCGATGCAATTTCCCATGATTCAGGAGTGCCGGGACGCTGCTCTTATCCAAGAAAGCAGCTCTTCCTTCTGTGATTTTTTTTTTCCTTGTCGTTCCTGAAGAAGGCCGCTGCTGTGGTTTTGTGATGCAAAAGACAGAGCTGCAAAGTGGAGTACCAGTAGTAGTTAGGAGTGGTTAACTAGTGCATGTGAATGCGGGCATACCGACATTTATAGATGTTAAATATTGATAAATAATGAGTAGTTGATTGATTACTGTTTGTATCGTAGTGGTATTTTCTAAATGACATTTTTGGGCCTCAGTAGTTTAATCAGCTTCAATAGGTTGGAATATTTGTCGGCATAAACGTAAAATATCTTACATAACGCAATTTTCCAATATAATGTGCTTTGTACTGTATATACTTCCGTCGACAAAAATAACAACATGGTCTCTGTAAAGATGTCTAATTTTCGGACCACAAATTTATCAATTGACAAACTTGTTTGTGTAAATGGATTGGAAGGAACGGTTATAATTGGTGCAATTTTGCTACAACTATTGTATTGTAACAATACAAGGAAAATTTATTCTTATAACAAAACTAAATGAGTGTATATCAAATTACGTAAGAAATATAATAATTATACAATCGCTTAAAAATCACAACTGTACATGTTCGAGATCCCCATGACAAAATTAGATTAAGGTGGACGAGGGGTGGGGAGCCAGCCTACTGCCTTACTTGCCCCCTTGGTTCAAATTTTCCGTGGGTGAGCTTGGAAAAGAATTTCGGGTTTTTTTTTTTTGGGTCGACGTAGGGGTATCCTGGAATCACCCAGACTAATTCACTGTGGCTGAGCAGAGCCCTTCCCTTAGAATGCCTAGTGAGGATGGCCCTTTCGGCCGGGGTAGCCCGAAGGCTAACCTCGGCCGAAATCACCCCGGCTGTCCTCCGTGGGCTTGAAGCCCCACTATCTCATCACCTCGGTTAACATTATAGCCGAAGTGATCCCTAGATCTCCGATGTCAGTGCAAATGCTGGATGTGACCCCTGACACTTCTGACGCCTGGCAGAAAGCTGCCCTGACACGCCGCCTGGACCGGACGAACATCCCGTCATGTCTTGTCATAAAGACCGGTCAAGTCCACCAGATGCACTGACCATACCAGATCTCTAGGGACCTGTGATGGTGGTTCTTCTCTCCCATCTATCCCCTATAAATATGGAACGCCTCTACTGAAAAGGGGGACGGCCAAATTTCTGGTAAAGGCATATTAGCCTTCTTTATACTCATTACTCTTTCATTCCCGAACTGATTTAAGCTTCGGAGTTACACCGGGGACTTTAGTCCCTCCTACAACTTGAGCAGGTGACCTCACCGCGGTGGGTCATCCGAGATAGGAACTTCCCTCAATCCGGAGGACCCACTCCAGCAGGTCAGAATTTACCTCTTCAATTGGCGCCGTCTGTGGGAACGCAAAGACATTAGAAAATGAAGCCTGCGCGTTCTAAGAGCAGAAAAGCTCTCACTATAGAGGCTGAGCAAAGCAATGCAGCTCAACCAGAGAATATTTCTGAAGAACAGGGGCCCCCGAGGGCTCCGCCCGCGAACGAAGAAGCCATAACCCGTATGGCCGAGTTCGTAACTGAGAATCCCAATATTTTCGAGGAATTGGGAAGATACCTTAAGAGGCAAGGCAAGCAGAAGGTCGAATCCTCCAAAAGGAAGTCGGACGGATCTCCTGAAGACTCATCCGAAGAAGGGTCAGATGGGAGGCGCCTGAGCCGAAGCGCGTCGAAACGGGCTTTCTCTAAGGCCACCTCTAAGGTAGCCTCTATTACTAAGGCCTTCTCTCGAGGGCTCTTAGGGAGACGACCCGAGGAAGAGCCTCGGCCCTTGGGAAGACCTGGGGTGGATTACATGAGAGCCCCACCCTTCACTGACGATATTAATGAGGAAAGGCTTCCTCCAAATTTCAAACTTCCATCGATACAATCTTATGATGGCCGAGGTGATCCCGAGGATCACATTCATGCCTTTATCTCCGCCTTCCGTCTGTACTGCATTCCTGATCCCGTCATCTGCCGGGCTTTCCCCGTATTCCTTCAGGGCACGGCTCGAAAATGGTTCGCAAGTTTGGAACCTAGGAGCATTTCGACCCTGGGGGAATTAGTGGAGAGATTTTTTCACCGGTTTATCTCTTCTCGACCTACAACTAGGACCTCGGCCTACCTGTTGAGTATGCAGCAGAACCCCGGGGAGTCACTTCGGTCGTACGTCCAGAGGTTCAATGAGAAAAGTGTACAAATACCTGACCCTAGCGAACAGGTTACCATAGCCGCCTTCACCCATGGGCTCGTGTCCGGGGTATTCAACACGGGAATTCATAAAAAATATCCCCGCACCCTTCACGAGCTGTGGTCAAAGGTGGAGAAGGGCATACAAGCCGAAGACCTCAACCGCATGAAGAAGGAGGTCCAAGCGGCGCGCCCGAGAGTTGACGCCAGGAAAGGGAATGACTTCGGCCGAAGTGACGCGAAAGCGGGAGGTGGTTTCCAAAGTCCTGGCCGGGACCGCCGCAGCGTGTTCGATAGGATCTCCAAGGGGAAAGCCCCCATCCCTGAGTCTGACCTGACCCCCTTGAACACCTCCCGATCTCAGGTACTCTCCGTCATGGAGCAACACGACCTCGGGAAGGCACCTCCCAAGATGTACGGTAGCCGGGATAAGAGGAACTCGAACCTCTACTGCCTGTATCACCGGGACATCGGGCATGAGACTGAGGATTGTAACGACCTAAAGAGGGAGATCGAGAACCTCATCCGTCAAGGTCATTTAAAGCAGTTCATTCGCCGAGGTGACCAACGCCGAGACAACCGCCGTGACGGACGGGGTGACCAGCGCCGAGACGAACGGCGGACTTCACGGAGCAGTTGCCGACCTCCTGAGGATCTTAGGGAGGCCAAGAGGCCTCCCCGAGACGGATCATCAGGTCAGGGGTTGGGCTACGGACCAACTATCGCCGGGGTGATCAACACTATTGCCGGGGGTCCGACGGGGGGGGATAGTCAAAACTCCCGGAAGAGGACCTACAGGCAAGCCCATCCGGAACAGGCCGAGTCAAGCTCTCGCCTGGCCGAGGTTATTACCTACGGGCCTAGTGACCCCGTTCCAGCTGCCTCCAGTAGTCACGAGGCCTTGGTGATTGAAGTTCTCACCAACAACTATATTGTGAAAAAGGTCTACATTGACCCGGGGAGTTCAGTGGACGTCATGTACCTGCACACCTTCGAGAGCCTCAAGTTGGCCAGGGAGAGTATGACCCCGGTGAGAACCCCCCTTGTAGGGTTCGGGGGACACATTGTGTACCCTGAAGGGATGGTGACGCTGACAGTAACTGTGGGGCGTCATCCCCGCTGCAGAACCATCCCCGTTAACTTCGTGATAGTTAAAGCTGATTCGCCTTACAACCTACTCTTGGGACGCCCTACACTTAATGTTTTGCGAGCAGTGTATTCCACCTATCACCTAAGCTTTAAATTTCTCACTCCTGCTGGGGTAGCCGAAGTCAGCAGCGACGTCTGCGCTGCCCGAGAATGCTACCTCGCCACCCTCCAGGCAGCTTCCCCATCAACTTCCGAAGTAGGGACTGAAAAGAGGTCAAATGTCCTCTCGATAGACAGCATCGATCCACGGCGAGCTGAGGAGGTGCCGAGGCTGGAGACGGGGGATGAGGTAGAAGAATTCTCTTTGGACCCCACAAAGCCGGAACAAACGGTTCGTGTCGGCACCCGATTACCCAACCTTGTCAAGAAAGGCATGTTGGACCTTCTCAGAGATTTCCGGGACGTCTTTGCTTGGAACTCGGAGGAGGTCCAAGGGGTCCCACATCACCTCATAATACATGAGCTGAACGTCGACCCCCAAATCCGCCCGGTCAAACAGAAAAGAAGGCACCTCGGCCCTGAGCGTAGCCGAGCTGTTAGTGAAGAGGTGGACAAGCTCCTCCCGGCGAAGATTATTCGGGAGGTCCAGTATCCAACCTGGCTGTCCAACCCGGTCATGGTAAAGAAGGACACTGGGGCCTGGAGAATGTGTGTCGACTTCACTGACCTCAACAAAGCCTGTCCTAAGGACTGCTATCCATTACCCAAGGTGGACACCTTAGTGGACTCAGCAATGGGTTTTGAGATCCTCTGCTTTTTTGATGCCTTTAAGGGGTATCACCAGATTGGAATGAGCCCGGAGGATCAGGAGAAGACTGCCTTTTACACCGATCAAGGCACGTACTGTTACACTACCATGCCTTTCGGATTGAAGAACGCCGGAGCCACGTATCAACGCTTGGTTAACCAAGCTTTCAAATCTCAGATCGGCCGGACTGTCGAGGCTTACGTGGATGATATCCTTCTCAAAAGTCGAACCACCTCCACATTCCTTGCCGACCTGAAAGAAGTTCTGGAAGTCCTTCGGAGGACACGAATGATGTTAAACCCCAAGAAGTGTGTCCTGGGGGTCACATCGGGGAAGTTTTTGGGCTACCTCGTCTCTAGGCGAGGCATTGAAGCGAATCCAGATAAGGTGAAAGCAATTCAAGAAATGTCTCCACCTCGGTGTGTTCGCGATGTTCAAAGACTGACCGGTCGGTTGGCCGCCCTAAACCGGTTCCTATCCCAGTCGGCCTCTAAGGCCCTGCCCTTCTTTAAAGTCCTCAAAAAGGCCGACAGCTTCTCCTGGACTGAAGAGTGTAAGCGGGCGTTCGAGCAGCTCAAGGAATACCTTAACCACCTCCCAACACTCACCTCACCTCGCCCCGGGGACAAATTATTTTTGTACTTGTCCGCTGCAGCCGAAGCAGTGAGTGCTGTGCTAATAAGGGAAGAAGGTGTCCAAACACCTGTGTACTATGTCAGTCGGGTTCTCCGAGGTCCGGAAACCAGATACACTCAAGCAGAGAAGCTTGTGCTGGCCTTGATCCACGCGGCTCGAAGGCTCAAGCCCTACTTCTTGGCTCACCACGTCTGCTTGAGGACAGACCAGCCACTCCGGCAAGTCTTGTCGCGACCGGAAGCCTCTGGGCGCCTCACCAAGTGGGCCATTGAGCTGGGAGAATACGACTTATCATATGAACCGCGTAAGGCGATCAAGGCTCAGGCCCTCGCAGATTTCCTGGCTGAGCTTACTTTCGACGAGGTGCACGTGGCCACCTCGGCTACTACCCAGGCGCCCACTCCAACCACCCCCGAGATTCAGCGCTGGACCTTACATGTGGACGGCTCGTCCAATAGTGGGGGAAGTGGAGCCGGGCTGCTCCTCGAAGATCCCCAGGGAGAGGTATGCTCGTACGCCCTCAGATTCGACTTCGCAGCCTCAAATAACGAGGCTGAGTATGAAGCGGTCATAGCCGGGCTGCAGTTGGCTCGTAGGCTCGGGGCTGCACACATCCTGGTCTACAGTGATTCTCAGCTCGTCGTGTGCCAAATACTAGGCGAGTACGGAGCCAAGGAAGAGGTAATGCAACGTTACCTCTCTAAGGTCCTCCAGCTAGTGGCATACTTTGAGTCCTTCGAGATCCAAAGAATCCCGCGGTCGCAAAACAGGAGAGCTGACGCTCTCTCCCGGCTCGCTTCAACCTCTTTCGCCGACCTAAACAAGACGGTTCTCGTGGAAGTCTTGGCCGAGCCGGGGTATAGAGAAGACATGGTATACCCCATTTGCCCTGGAAACACCTGGATGGGACCATTAGTCCGATTTCTTAACCAAGGTGAGCTCCCTGAAGACCGTGCCGAGTCACGAAAGCTTCAACGTAAAGCAGCCCGGTATACCCTCCGACAGGGCCTCCTGTACAAAAGGTCCTACCTCGGCCCCTGGCTACGGTGCATTACTCCGGAAGAAGGCAACAGAATTCTTCAGGACATTCACGAGGGACTCTGTGGTGCTCACGTCGGCTTCAGGATACTCGTGAAAAAAACTCTCCTACTCGGGTACTTCTGGCCCACTATGAGGATGGATGCCCAAGTTATGGTTCTCTGTTGCCCTTCTTGTCAACATCACGCCCCCGAGCACCACCAACCGACTAATCTAATGATCCCGATTACCTCGCCATGGCCATTTGAGCAGTGGGGAACTGACATAATCGGTCCATTCCCCAGGGCTCCGGGCAATTATGCCTATGTGGTGGTAGCGGTGGATTACTTCACCAAGTGGGTCGAAGCCGAGTCTCTGAAGAATATCACTGGTTCGGCGGTCCAAAAATTCTTCTGGAAGAATGTGGTTTGTCGCTTCGGCCTACCCCGGGTGGTCATCTCAGATAACGGCCGGCAGTTCGCCGACAATCCTTTTAAGGCCTGGTGTGAAGAGCTCGGGATCAAACAACATTTCACCTCGGTCGGGCACCCCCAAGCTAACGGACAAGCCGAAAATTTCAATCGAACCCTCCTCCATGGCCTTAAGACCAGGCTCCACCGGGCTGGATCGTCGTGGATGGAAGAGCTTCCTAGTGTGCTGTGGTCATACAGAACCACGCCGAGGTCAGCCACCCAAGAAACTCCCTTTTCCTTGACTTATGGATCTGAGGCTGTCGTTCCGGCTGAGTTTATTACACCCAGCCCACGGATGGCCGCGTACGCTGCTGAAGTCAACGAGGAGGAGCGACGAGTTGACCTCGATCTTGCCGAAGAAAAACGCGATGTGACCGCAGCCAAGGTTGCTACCTATAAAAATATCCTAGCCAGCTATTACAACGCTCGGGTCAAACACCTAAGGTTCAGCCCGGGAGACCTCGTACTCCGGAAGAACTCGGTTAGCCGAGCTGAGCCCCTGGGAAAACTCAATCCCAAGTGGGAGGGACCCTACCGTGTTGTTGAGTCCAGCCAAAATAGATATTGTAAGTTAGCTTACCGAGACGGTTCGCGGGTGCCCCGAACTTGGCACGCTGAGAATCTTAAATTGTATTTCCCTTGAAGGGGTATGTATTGTTGAATCTCATCCCATTGTTATTCCTCACTTATTCTCCTTTATCTTAAGTGAAAAATAAGGGGACAAAAACAATAGTCAAAGGAAGGAAAACAAGAGAAAACCGAGCTTGAATTAGCAAAAAGATATAAGAAAAGCCAAGGTCGTGTATGACCCCGGCTCAGAGAACAAAAGTGAGGGGCCGAGGTCATGAAGCCAAAGTCATTCATGACCTCGGCCCATCTATTACAAAAATGAGTGCTTCTAAGCACTCCCTACCCTGGCACTCTGCCCTGCGGTCTCGCTCCCAGTCTCGGCATCTTGTTGCGCCTTAGCTCCTTCGCCGGTCTGACCTCCTTCAGCTCCCTTACTGGTTTGGCTCGCTTCAGCACTATCATCATCCAGCTCAAATTCCAAAAGCCACTTGTTGAACTCAGCCCGGACTTCGGCTAGGTTCTTCCCGGTTTGAATGCCTTCGGCGATGCGGTCACAAAGTTCCTTGGCATCCTCATTGTAGTGTTGGGTACCCTGGAAGGACTCTAGCTGCTCAGAGGAGAGGAAGGGTCTTGCCTCGGTGATAGCCGAGGTGTATCCAAACATGAAACTCGGTCGGCTGAGCTCGCTGAGGTCACGGGTGAAGGATTCTGACTTGCGGAACGCCTCCACGGCCGTGGTCCCGGCTGTGTTGATGGCCTCCTTGGACGATTGCGCTTCTTGAGCCCTTCTTTCTTTCTCCTCGTCAAGCGCGGTGATCAGAGAATTGTTCGCGACTACGGCTCTCTCCCTCGCTGCCTCGGCTTTATCTCGTTCCTGCTCAGTGGCCTTCAGCTTCTCCTCCAGGTCGGCAATTTTCTTCTGAAACTCGGATGGTGACTCGTAAGTCTCTACAAAGTCCCCGAAGCGCTGATACATCTCAGCAAGGAACGCAGTGGCAGAAGCCCAGGAAACTGCGGCGCCCTGCATCAGCTCGTCTGGCTTGAGCTTCCTGGTGTAAGTGTTATCCCGCGGAAGGACTGTGTTCACCAGGAGCTCGTGCGCCACCTGGGGATTTTTGCATCGGTCATTCACATTGACCTCCCACTCCGGGCAAAATTGTACCCCGGAGTGCCTTTTGTCTTCCCCGGCTGCGACAGAGGGCACGTTGTGGAGGTTGAATAATGATGACCCCGAGATGGGATCACCCTGGAGAATAGTCGTACCACGACCTCGCCCCCGAGGCGGAGTGACCACTGTGACTCCCTGGGAGGGAATCCCCACCGGGATGGAGGAAGTCTTGGATCTGCCAGGTGTGCCCGAGGTGTGCGAGCCCTCGCCTACGATCACCACGGCGGGCTCGCGAGTGCCTGCTGCCGAAGCAGTCTTCTTGGCCGTCCTGGAAGAGGTCTCAGCAGTGTCCTTGCGTTTCTTCGATGGCCTCTTCGCCACCTCGACCTCCCCCGAAGTGATCAGGTCGGAGAGTTTTGTCACTACAAAGAGGGAAACAAAGTCAGTTAGAATTCAAAAAGAATAAATAAAGAAGGGCAATGGGAAAGTACAAGGTATCTTGAGCCTAGAAGATAATAGAATAGGGTGATCTGGGCTGATCAAGGCTCGACTGAGCCCTCCCTCCACGAGCACGTTCTCAGGGAAGTCCCAACAGTTAATCTTGAGGCCCGACCCCACCAGTTTTTGGAAGTTGCGTTCTTCTAATTTGCCTGGGGAAGTCTCTTTGACTGAGGTGGGAGGCCTCCACCAGAATCCTCTAGGGAAGTCCTCAGCCGGGACGAACATGAAGTTGTTCTTCCACTCCTTTATCGAGCTCGGGGCATCGTATACTAACCTCGGGACCTTGTTCCCGAAGTAAAACCAACCCTTTTCACTCCCGCTATTCTTAAGTGAATAGCAGCGGCGAAAGAGGTTGACGGTGGGCTCGACCTTCTGGTGTCGGCAGAGCAGCTGAAAGCCGACTAAGACGCGGATAGCGTTCGGGGTGAGTTGAGTGATCCTCACCTCCCAGTACCTCAAGCAATCCCGAAGGAACCTCGTAGTGGGCACTCTGAGCCCGGCCTCCAACTGCTCCACATATATCGCCACCCTTCCCTTTGGTGGCAACGCGGCGGATTGGTCCGGCTGTGGAATGTAAATGCCGTAGTCCTTTCTCCAGGGGTATTTACGAATCACCCCGGATACAGAGGCTTGCGACATAGCACTGCGGAAGGCTGGCATACGGCCATAATTCATTGTGGCCACGTTGGGGGGAGTGGAAGGCTCCTGCACACCTTCGTCCCTGGGGACCTCATTCCCGAGGTCATCATCGTACAAGACCTCAGGGTCCACTTCGATCTCCTCGGCCTCTTCTTCCACAGCCCCAGTTCGGTGGGATGCCTCAGCTCCTCCCCCGGTGTCGGCTGTAGTCCTTACCTCGGACGGGCCGAGCCTCCCTGCCTCCGCACCTCCGCCATCGGACCCAGTCCCTTCCTTGGAGGGGTCGGGCCTCTCTGCTTCGGTGAAATCTGGCCTCACTGTCTCTTTGTGCGTCCGAGCTGTTCTAGCCATTGTAATAGAGGGAGAAGATGTGAACTTACTTAAGAACTGTGAGGTGAAAAGACTGCTGAAGAAAATTTAGGGATGATCTTGCCGAAGTGAAAAGACGAAGTGACGAAGCTCTGGAGTGATTTCTGATTTTCGATAAAGCAGGGAGCGATAAAAAGGAGCCCTATTTATAGGCAACAGGGGGAAGCTGGAGGGGCGCGATCCTTGGGATCCCCTGAGGTCCTCTTTCTCTCCCCTCATTAATGAGGAGACTGTTCACCTGACGCTCGATTTTCGGACCCGACGTTAAAGCTGACAGCCGTCCTTTCACTCCTTTCTCAGTCCCATCCCCACTGCATCGACGTGTCACTACAGCATTCCGTGCCCCACACGCTCGTCAACTTCGGAAAGATCTGACCCCGGATGATGGCGACCTCGCCCTTCCCGAAGCTTGGGGGGCTTAGTGAGGATGGCCCTTTCGGCCGGGGTAGCCCGAAGGCTAACCTCGGCCGAAATCACCCCGGCTGTCCTCCGTGGGCTTGAAGCCCCACTATCTCATCACCTCGGTTAACATTATAGCCGAAGTGATCCCTAGATCTCCGATGTCAGTGCAAATGCTGGATGTGACCCCTGACACTTCTGACGCCTGGCAGAAAGCTGCCCTGACACGCCGCCTGGACCGGACGAACATCCCGTCATGTCTTGTCATAAAGACCGGTCAAGTCCACCAGATGCACTGACCATACCAGATCTCTAGGGACCTGTGATGGTGGTTCTTCTCTCCCATCTGTCCCCTATAAATATGGAACGCCTCTACTGAAAAGGGGGACGGCCAAATTTCTGGTAAAGGCATATTAGCCTTCTTTATACTCATTACTCTTTCATTCCCGAACTGATTTAAGCTTCGGAGTTACACCGGGGACTTTAGTCCCTCCTACAACTTGAGCAGGTGACCTCACCGCGGTGAATCATCCGAGATAGGAACTTCCCTCAATCCGGAGGACCCACTCCAGCAGGTCAGAATTTACCTCTTCACCTAGCACGTTAATTTAGGAAGAATCGAACCGTGGTCGATGCTGTAAAGACAGACGACACGACCAGCTAAGCTGAGCTGCACCCCGAGGGGCCACTTCGGCTTTTTACTTGGTGGGCATAGTTTATAGAGTATTACTTGCGATGCCCACCCAAAGGGTAATGGACGTTATGGACTGGTGAGAAAATAATAGTAATTAGCTCTGCTCGAAGTGAATTCAACTAGCAGTGTACCTGACCTCTATAATGCGAGGGTGAATAATAGGTAGCCAGAATTAATTATTTGTTACATTGAGAATTAATGTTGGACTCCGAGGGAGGGCGAGAGATCATGAAATGCCATGTGAGCTGCGACTAACGGAAACAGACAACGTACCGTCAACTAATCTGATTTTTCCGACTGAGAACAAGAAACAGTAACAAGAGAAAAATCTGTCCCGTAGAAAAGTAGATAGGAGATTTCAAAGGCATATGAAACAAGACCGTTTACCTGGAAATTTGACATGGGAACGTTGTTGTGCCCTATGATTAAAAAAGGAAGAAGGGATCAGTGATCACCCATCCTGTTTTGGTCCAATAATTGTGGGTCTGGTTCATAATCACACCTTGGAATTTACTTTGGGAGACCAACCAAAAAAAAAAAGAGTAAAATCTTCTAGATGACGGGTGCTGCAAAATGCATGGGTTGTCTGATATAATGCATGAATTTGATCCATTAAAATTGCAAAAAATTCATGTCTAACATTAATTACAAGAGGGTCCAGCAAGAAGTGTGACATATACTATAGAATTTAAGGCATTGATTGCAAATATGAAATAAGTTCTTTCTTGGTGAGCGTTTTTCCAACCTTGCTGCCTCTGAGACGAGATCGAACATACTGTCCATGCATTGGAATAAAAAGGGTTTATACAATTAGCTACTCCTGTACTAAATGCATTTGCTTATACATGTCCTAGATTTCTAACCAAACATGCAATGATGGATGTCTTTTGCATGTGAACCACCACGAGAAAACCAATTTGTTGATCCTTGGAGATCTAGGGCACCTCAGCTGAAGCTCTCTGATCAGTATGTTTTCTATTCAATGCAATAACAATACTTTATGATTCAAGAGGTTTCGTGGAAACTGTAGCTTGAGTTTCAAAATCCATGCAAGAAAAAAAAATCCATGTATAATGCTAAGGCATCTATCCTTTGGTACGAAGGGTGACAGACTAATACAGTACCCCACATCCATTAGTAATCCCATCGTCCAAGCTCCCAACTCCCAACCCCGTACATATCAAAATAAAGAGACTGCTGTCGTTTAATACCTACATAGGGTACGAAGTTGAGACAAAAATTAATGCACATTTTGGTTGCGTGTTGGAACTCCAAATCCAACAACAACCAACTCCATCTCCAGTCCCAAGATCTTGTCTGTGTATGATAACTGATAAGCCAACTTTTCTCATCTTCTGGCTTT